ATTAATATTTAGTTATCACCATTTTGTTTCTGTTTCCTAAATTGCCATATTAGAGGCCAAAATAGTTGGCACTGTTTTGGATCTAATCCTGCTCTTGTTTATATTGGTGTGAATCAGGAGTAACTGCTAGAGCTGGTTGCAAATTTTCCAAATAAATGTTTTTCTGTCCAAAAATGCTGACTCAAAGAAATCAAAACCTTCCCCAGGATGGAACTCTGACAGTCTTCTGACAAGTTCAGCTGCCTCCTCTGCAGCCTGCGTGACAGGGAGCTTGGGAGCAGGGCTCCAACGATCCCAGACTCTTCAGCAGCCCACCTGGCGGGAGCTGTGGACCACTGTTCCCAAGGCTTTGGGTTCCCAGTTCCTCAACAACTCATCTCGTGGGCTGCCACAGAGCCCGGTCTTCCAGGCTCCTCGGGAACATCTTTTGTTTCTGAAACACTGAAACATTCAGAAAATGTGGGTGTTTTCACAACTAAATATTGAGGAATTTCATTTCTACAAAAAATACTGAGTTTTGGCTTTACATCCCACTTCGGGATGACTTTTTTCCAAAACCTTGACATTTTTCCATGGATGTGAAATTCATTTCCCCAGCTAGCTCTAGAAACTGCATGGAAGTGACTGGAGTTGCACCCTTGTAACCGTTTAGGGAAGCTAGACACTGAGGGCTAAATTCAAAACCTGATGTTTGCATATACAATTCTGCTGACTTCAGTGGCACAGATTCACCTCTCACGTAATTCATCTGAACTCAGCAGAGTTACACCAGTTCACAAACTGGGGCAAAGGGACTGCAGGGCATCAGTGAATTGTATCCATTTAGCCCTGTTGGGATCTGGGATGGGCAAAGCTAAAGGATCCCCTCCCCCCGCAGCCTAAGAGGAGGATCCACAGGCCCTGGACACCAAATGATTCCGGGGGACAACTAATGAAATAACCGGTACAGGAGAGTGGTCGTTTAGCATAAGGCAGGCACAATGCCTTCAGCAGCACTAGGGGAGTGCAGTTCTTACACTACTCATAAGAGGGAGCTACTTGATATTGCCCCCAACCTCAGCACAGTGCCATTTAGTCTTGCCACCTTAGAGGGCAGGAGTCCCACAAAGGGGCGAGATACAGTCAAGCCCAAATTATTATTTAAAAAACAAAATGCTCTGCTTATGCACTTAAATAAATAACACTAATATGTCTCTATTCTATAACAACTTCCATGGAAGGATCTCGGCAAGCTTTGCAACCAGTTACTTTTAACTTGAGAAAGGGCTTCTGTTCTGACAGGCAGACAGGTGTCATTTGGAAACCTGTTCTGATGATCAATTATCTGACCTCTCAAAGCTTTAAACAATCTGTGTGCAATTAAATTATAATTACATTGATTTTTATATAATTAATAATGTGTACTTACTAAATGTTATCAGACAACTAGCATTGTCAGCCAGGCTGTGGGACAGCTGCAGATAACTGATATTAGTTATTTTTATAGGTTAAAAAACAGCTCCCAAATAATTTGAAACCATCACTTCTGGTGATTTTATTAATGTCATCATTGGTTTTTGTTATACCCACTTGTGCCTTCTCATTTCAAAATTAGATTGTGAAATTTTTGGGGTAAGACCCATGTCTGCATGTGTCTTTGTACAGCACCTACCACAACTGGGCACCAATCTTGACTGGGATCTAGTGCAATACAAATAAATAACAATAATATTAATATACTTCCAATGACATACTGCTGCAACTAAAATCAGCAGAGGTGTTTGAGCTGGACCATCATCAGTATAAATGAGAGAGAGTAGCTGGGAGGGAAACTTCTGTACCTTGTTCCACCAGCGCTCAGAACGTTAATCTTTTGGGCATGATGTGATGTCCACGTTTGCTGGCATTTTTGCTCCCTTTCTCTCTCCCCAAAGGCTCCTGAGGAGAGTGTGGATGGTGTCATAAATATAAAGGGAAGGGTAACCACCTTTCTGTATACAGTGCTGTAAAATCCCTCCTGGCCAGAGGCAAAATCCTTTCACCTGTAAAGGGTTAAGAAGCTAAGGTAACCTCGCTGGCACCTGACCCAAAATGACCCAAAAGGACAAGATTCTTTCAAATCTGGAGGAGGGGGGAAAGGCTTTTGTTTGTCTGTCTGTGTGATACCTTTGCCGGGAACAGATCAAGGATGCAAGCCTTCCAACTCCTGTAAAGTTAGTAAGTAATCTAGCTAGAAAATGCGTTAGATTTTCTTTTGTTTAATGGCTTGTAAAAGTCACTGTGCTGAAGGGAATGTGTATTCCTGTTTTTGTGTCTTTTTGTAACTTAAGGTTTTGCCTAGAGGGATTCTCTATGTTTTGAATCTGATTACCAAGTATTTACCATCCTGATTTTACAGAGGTGATTCTTTTACCTTTTCTTTAAATAAAATTCTTCTTTTAAGAATCTGATTGATTTTTCATTGTTCTTAAGATCCACGGGTTTGGATCTGTGTTCACCTGCACGAGTTGGTGAGGATATTATTATCAAGCCTTCCCCGGGAAAAGAGGTATAGGCCTTGGGGGGATATTTTGGGGGAAGACGTCTCCAAGTGGTCTCTTTCCCTGTTCTTTGTTTAAATCGCTTGGTGGTGGCAGCATACTGTTCAAGAACAAGGCAAAGTTTGTACCTGGGGAAGTTTTTAACCTAAGCTGGTAAGAATAAGCTTAGGGGGTCCTTCATGCAGGTCCCCGCATCTGTACCCTAGAGTTCAGAGTGGGGAAGGAACCTTGACAGATGGATATATATAAGGACAGTCCTATTTTTATTTTGTGATTTTTAATGTAGGAGATAGCTGAAGAGAGCACAGGATGGGCATATCTGGTTACATTTTAAAAATGTGAATAAATATATTCAATATCTAAGATGTTCAGGCTTCACTTTCATTTTCTTATCTCAAAGAAAAGTTTTTAAGGCCTTTTCCCTCCAACATAACATTTATAAGACTTATGAAGTGGCTATTTAGAGCCTCTCTTTTACTCATTATCTGGTATAATATAATTTTGAATTGATAAATACAATTTTTACAAAGAGCTATTTACCTAATATGTGCAACTTAAAATGGCAATACAGAATATTCAGCTATTGCTTGCAGAAAGATGTTTATTTTATTGGCATTTAGTTTTTGTGGCAAAATTACCTTAGCATGAGATAGATCTCCATGTGGACATCTGGTGCTATTGATCCTACTGACCTTGATAGACATTCTAGGAGATGGAATCTCAGGAAATGTTTATGTGATTTGCTCTTAAAAAGAAAGGTTTTACTTTCCTTTATGATCAAATGCTAAGTGCAAAAAAAGAAATGTATTCTGGCAGCTAAAAATTTTGCTGTTATTCCTTTTGTGACTTCTATGGCTAAGATACTGAATGGATTCCATAAGTGAGAACTTGTCTATATGCCAACTCCACATGGTCTTCTTTCTTTAAAAAATGCCTTTGATTTTCACAGACTCCAGCTCTGTGGACAGACTTGTGCTGAAAAAAAGCATATCCTGCTGCTACAGGAAATAGTTTTCTCAACACCACTGTATGTTATTTATTTTAATCATTACTTTAAAAAAATTTCATACAAAAATCCATACAATATTGTTTGGCATATCAGGGCAGAGCAGATTTCAAATGTACCTTTTTAGAATTTGCCTCAACTAAACATAAAAGTTCAAAGGGTTAACATGTTTGGAAAAGCCTCGAAAATGCTAAATGGATTTTTTTTCTTAATTTAAAAATCCAAGAACTAAATGTAGCAGGGCATTAAATTAGTCACTGGATTCACATTTAGCGGGAGCAGCACACAACAGGATGAATACAGAGATTGTTCTGTTCAGTATCTGATTCAATCCTATACAATTTACAGTAGGTGGTCTAATTATTGCCCTACTTAAGGTTAATGCCTACAAGCTTGAGAACTGGAGACTGGGCCAAAACTGAAAACCCAGACTCAAATACGGCCAAACTTGTGCAAAATTCAGAACCCAAATCCAAATCTGAATTTTGTGATAAGCTCTTATGTCTTGTGTTCATACAATCCAGAACCTCAGATCCAAACAGCCTCATTTGCAGATCCAAACTATGAAACTCAGACCCATGTTATAAAAAGTGAAGAGTTTTCATATACAACACTCCTTTCCCTCAGTACTTCACCATTCTGAGTGCTTATGCTATACCCATATCCACTGAGGCAGATACTTCACCAATAGCCTACAAGAAGCACAAGTTCTCGATTACTAAAAAGAGAACTTTTGACAGAGAGTCCCCCCAGGTACTGCAAGTACTTGACATTTGCTGGGTATCATGGTATACGGCTACAGATACTAAAGATTGCCTGTGGCAGATTTGCTACTGTGAAAAACTAACACAAAGAAAATGCTTATAGACTCATAGACTTGAAGGTCAGAAGAGACCATCATGATCATCTAGTCTGACCTCCTGCACATCGCAGGCCACAGAACTTTGCCCACCCACTCCTATAATAAACACAGAACCTCTGGCTGGGTTACTGGCATCCTCATATCATGATTTAAAGACTTCAAGTTATAGAAAATCCACCATTTGCTCTAGTTTAAACCTGCAAGTGACCCGTGCCCTATGCTGCAGAGGAAAGCAAAAAAAACAAAACAAAAAAAATCCAACCCCCACAGGGTCTCTGCCAGTCTGACCCAGGAGAAAATTCCTTCCTGACCCCAAATTTGGTAATCAGTTAGCCCCTGAGCATTTCAACAAGACCCAACAGCCATACACCTGGGAAAGAATTCTCTGTACTAACTCAGAGCCCTCCCCATCTAGTGTCCCATCACCGGCCATTGGGGAGATTTGCTACTAGCAGCTACAGATCGGCTACATGCTATTGGAGGCAGTCTCATCATACCATCCCCTCCATAAACTTATCAAGCTCAGTCTTGAAGCCAGTTAGGTTTTTTTGCCCCCCACTGTTCCCCTTGGAAGGCTGTTCCATAACTTCACTCTCCTGATGCTTAGAAACCTTTGCCTAATGTCACATATACTAAAATTGGAACGATACAGAGAAGATTAGCATGGCCCCTGAGCAAGGATGACATGCAAATTCGTCAAGTCTAAACTTGCTGATGGACAGCTTATATCCATTTACTTAAAATACTCTTCACAGGTTCACACCCCCTCCTGTGGAGAACAGATTTGAACTGGGTCTCCACTGGGTCTCCATTGGGCTATGGGATACTCTTAACTTAACTTAAATAACTCCTCTCCCTTCCTGGTATTTATTCCTCTGATGTATTTATAGAGAGCAATCATATCTCCCCTCAGCCTACTTTTGGTTAGATTAAACAAGCCAAGCTCTTTAAGTCTCCTCTCATAAGGTAAAAAGAAAAGGAGTACTTGTGGCACCTTAGAGACTAACCAATTTATTTGAGCATGAGCTTTCGTGAGCTACAGCTCACATCTGATGAAGTGAGCTGTAGCTCACGAAAGCTCATGCTCAAATAAATTGGTTAGTCTCTAAGGTGCCACAAGTACTCCTTTTCTTTTTGCGAATACAGACTAACACGGCTGTTCCTCTGAAACCTCTCATAAGGTAGGTTTTCCATTCCTCTGCTCATTCTAGTGGCCCTTCTCTGAAGCTGTTCCAGTTTGGATTCATCTTTCTTATCATGGGAGACCAGAATGGCACACACTATTCCAGATGAGGTTTCACCAGTGCCTTGTATAATGGTACTAACACTTCCCTATCCCTAATGGAAATACCTCACCTGATGCATCCTAGGATTGCATTAGCCTTTTCCACAGCAACATCACATTGGTGGCTCATAATCATCCTGTGATCAACCAATACACTTAGGTCTTTCTCCTCCTCTGTTGCTTCCAAATGATAAGTACCCAGCTTATAGCAAAACTTCTTGTTGTTAGTACCTACATGCATGACCTTGCACTTTGCAGTATTCAGTTTCATCCCATTTCTATTACTTCAGTTTTCAAGGTTGTCCAGATCTTCTTGCTAATTAGATACCTGAGCATTTTGAAAGTAGATGGCCTGGAAATCCATGATGTACACAAATATGAACAGTGTGAAGGAAGATTAGAGTTGTGGGTATTATCAGTAGAGCTGGGTGAATTCTTTTCAGCAAATAGTTTACTCACCAAAAAAAAATTTTAGTTTTGCTCAACTCAAAAGTAGTCACAACAATAGTGTTGAGTTTGCCAAATAGTTTTGACCAAACTGAAAAAGTGAAGTGTTTCAGCAATGGCAAAGTTTTAACTTCTCATTCATTGTGGCAATTCATAGTCATTCATAATGACAATGGACTGTTACTAGAGCATGGTAAACTGACTTTGTAGTCCTTTGGTTCGGGCATTCACAAAGGATGTGGGAGAATCAAGTCCCTGCTCCAATGACCATTTCATTATTTATAAAAGGTGGAACAGCTTGAACAGGAGAGATTAAGAGTGACCCACAATAAAAAAAAAATGTCAAACAAAATGTTTCATTCTGAATATTTTTGACTTTTCAGTATTCTGAAACTATTCATTTTTGGTTTGACCAAAAACAAAACTTTGTTCTTAATGTTTCAGAATTGCCTGCAATCTGAAAAATCCATTATTCACCCAGCTCTAATTATGAGTTGAGGCTACATTACATCCCAAGCTGGCACCAGTCAATACAAAGAGTTCTATGATCCTGGATTCCAGTGTGAAATATGTCAGCAGGCTTTCAAGACTCTTCCTTATACATGTTGTATTTATATATACTTACAGGGCCACCTGCAAGAGAAAGGGAGTATCGGATTCGGCATGTATCTAAAATGAGAAGAGACCAATTCTTAGTTTCTAATATATGAGAGGCTGTTATAGATTCACTTTTCTGAGAGACTCTTGCTTTCATGGGTCAAAATCCTCATGACAAAGACCACTCAGGGATGCCATAAGGCCTTGCAGTGACTTAAGATCTTAATGAATGTTTAAAGTATTTTGAAAGGTTAAGCCACTAGGAAATGTTTGTGGTGAATGTTCACTATGTTATCCAAACTGACCCTATCTCTAAAGGTCAGATATTTAAGAGGTCCAGCCAAATCATGCATTTCCTTTTTAGGGTCAGGTTAGTTTCAGGTTTCAGAGTAGCAGCCGTGTTAGTCTGTATCCGCAAAAAGAACAGGAGAACTTGTGGCACCTTGGAGACTAACAAATTTATTTGATCATAAGCTTTCATGGGCTACAGCCCACTTCATCAGATGCGTAAAATGGAACATATAGTAAGAAGATATATATACATAGAGAGAATATGAAAAGGTGGAAGTTGCCATACCAACTCTAAGAGGCTAATTAATTAAGATGAGCTATTATCAGCAGGAGAGATACCATTAATTTGGGCTTGAGTAGAGACTGGGAGTGGCTTGGTCATTACACAAATTGAATCTATTTCCCCATGTTAAGTATCCTCACACCTTCTTGTCAACTGTCTGAAATGGGCCATCTTGATTATCACTAGAAAAGTTTTTTTTTCTCCTGCTGATAATAGCTCAGCTTAATTAATTAGCCTCTTAGAGTTGGTATGGCAACTTCCACCTTTTCATGTTCTCTCTATGTATATATATCTTCTTACTATATGTTCCATTCTATGCATCTAATGAAGTAGACTGTAGCCCATGAAAGTTTATGATCAAATAAATTTGTTAGTCTCTAAGGTGCCACAAGTACTCCTGTTCTTTTTGAGGTTAGTTTCAGAAGAGAAAGATATTGTGACTACTGATTGATTTTGATAAATCCACTTTGAAACAAAAGACATTTTCCAGTGCAAATGAGTTTTGGTCTGATCTAAAAAAGATTTTTTTAAAAAATGACTACCCAGAATTAAAGCAAACGGATACTGAATTATCTGAAATATAAACTCTATGAGCTTTCAGAAAGGCTCTCGAGAATGCTAGAAATTCAGTAAATCAGTGGCAGGGTTGATAGTTACAGAGAACAATATTGTATACAAACTTTTTAGAATTCCAATTAAATGACCTGACTTGTTTTTTATACCCGAATTCTGATGCCATTAACAGAAAAAAAAAATCAAAAAACAAAAAAAAACACTCAAAGATTCCAGTTCATTCAAAACTTTACGCTAAACAACCCAAATGCTATCCACAACCTTGCAAAACTGGAGTCAGTGCCAAAATGATGGAGACAATATTTTGAATAATCTCTGGACACCATATTTTCTTTACTACCTTAACAAACTAGCATATTCCTAACTTGATTTTAAATAAAACGTGCACAGAGATATGTTCTGTTTAAATGTAATGAAGTAACCTTATGGATAGTGGATAACTCCCTAATTACATTTTATGTTCTTATGGTTCTTGAGTTTTCATTTTCCACAAATGGAGCAGATGTATATGAGTTCACATGACTGCTCCAGCTCAGGCAGAAGTGACCACGGCTGCCAGCAAGACTACTTAGCCATTAGACACATAAGCTAGGTAGTACTGTATGTTTAATAGAACTAGGTGTAAAGTGATGGTTCTTTTTTCACTGTTTATTGCTAAGCCAACCTGCTATAAAACATTGATCTCTCAGATACAGGAGACACATGACTCCCATGCCTCTAGGTCCAGTAGGCTTAACCTGTTGAACCCAAAGTGCTAAAAGGACTTAAAATGTAATCATTAGTAGATTTTTGCAAGCAGCTGGTAAAACAAGACTTCTAGGCAGTCAGGGTGCTTTAATTTATTTCTTAATCCTGCTAAATCATCAGAAAAGTATTTTAACTTAGTTCCACTTGGCAGGCAAAAGTTAGAATTCCAATAGGACACTATAATAAAAGGCATCAATGAAGTGAAGAATGATAAACTTTGTGCAGTGAAAGAAAAGTGACCATCAGCCTTGAGGTCCAATCTTTTATTTCTCTTTTGAAAAATCAGAGAATTACTGCACATCAGTTTGGCTTGGTGTTCCTGGCAATATATTTAGTTTTTTCAAAAGGCTCAATATTTCCAGCCTCCATTAAAACCATCACAGTCTAGCGAGACAGACGGCAGACAAAAGAGATTATTGATTGACACACAAGACAGGAGTTTTTTTTTTTTTTATAGTTACTGCACTGACAGGTAAATTGCAAGTCACCCATTAGTAACTGTTCACTTTTCATGTTTAAAGAAAACATCATGATGGCCAGTCTTTAAGACCAGATCTTCCATTGTGCAGGCTTGACCCCATCACTGCTAAGGAGAATAGAAAATAATGGCATTAAATGCTATGGGATAGCACGAGAGGCATCATCACAAACAAAATGAATGAATATTTGATAGTATTTAAAAAGAATTATACAGAATATGTTGTGAACAATTCCATTTATTTCTTATGTGCCTAATTAGTACATCTTATCTAGATCTGAAAAAAGTAAACTAAGAAAGTTATGACCATGGTTTCTTGTCATTTTGCACCTAGCTACAGAATAAAATCCTCAGTGTGCAGTAATTATTCTTGGCTATTAAATATGCTACAGTGATTGCAGTACAAATATAGTCCACGAGCTCATTTTCACGACATGATTTAGATGATCTGTTTAATCTAATGCAATCTGCAGACTTGATTTCTTGCCACGTAGTGCACACAGGAAATCCTGGAATAATATCCAAAGACTGTGCTGGACCGAAAGTGAAACCTTTGGTTTAACATGCTGCCAAAAGTTTTAAAGAAACAAACTCACAAAATGAAAATCCTCTAGTGTTCTTGAAATCATGATGTGCAGCACTGGCTGATTGGAGCAATACTACCTGCATTGAAATTTGAATTAATGATTTTGAGAGTCAGATGAACCATTAGTTTGGTGAAAGGGATAAAAAAGGATCTAAGAAACAAAATGCTCTGGCTTTTAAAATGAAAATTGTAAAACAAATGGGAGGGGGGAAAGGTGAGCATTACCATGTTAAATTAATTTGTTAGAGGGTTTTTGGATTTTTGCCATTTTTAAAAATCAAGGTGTTATAGAAGTGCTTATATTAACTGTTACTGAGTCACAAAAAAGCAAAAGCCAGGCCAGAGATTTAAAATTACTTGCTGTGGAATTGGAACCTAGAGTGCAGTTTTACTCTGAAAATGTACTCTATAAATATGGAAGTGTTGGG